CAGTGTAGGATTTAGAATATTTTCAAGAAGAGTTTCGAATGCCGGCAAATTGGCTACCGGCGAAACTTCCTATCGGCAAAATAGCATTCGGTTTATTTCGGTCTATAGTCTGTCGGCCAAATATCTATCGGCGAAATGTCTGTCGGTGAAACGTCCAGGCACGCAATCAACTCGTTAATATGTAACGTATGTAACGAATCTAATACATGATGAGGATATAGTAGTAAATACATCTGTACTATAAATATGCCACTTGTGCAGTTCACAGGCAAGAAAGCTAAAATTATTCGTTAGCACTTCCTTATCTATTTACATATTGTATGGAATATATTTTTATAACAGTCACGAAAAGATTTGTTGCAGATACCATACACAATCGGGTTTAACATTGACGTCATGTATACCAGTAAAAAAAGACATAGAATGGGAGGCTGCATCGACGGCTTTCTTCTTGGGCAACTATGTTGTGAATAGTTGAAGGCAGTGTGCAGATGCTAAAAACACCAAGTATTATTTGAAGTTACCAGCGCTGCTTTGAAATCGGATTTCCCAGCCTGGTTTTTTGGTTGAGGATGCCACATGCCTAGATATTCTTTTCGTTTCGCAGTATATACGCAGATGACAGGCGTACATAGGAATTGCAACAAAAATAGTGCCTATGTATTACTCACCTCGTTATACACATCCTCATTGTACAATGGTGAGAGGACAACAGTCATCAATAAAAGTGCTACTGTCCACACAACGATTAGAAATATTACTACCGATCGAGTGTGTACTTTTACATTGTACACATATGGATACATGATAGCAAAATGTCACTCTCCCGCTAAAAACATATGGTGGAAAAGAGAGAATCCCACACCTGATACGGACAGTTTCTGAATAAGCCATCCAACTGTATCTCCAAAGTAAAAAAATCGTCCACGAAGAGCAAGACGGAGTACAACGAAGATGCCAATAAACCCTGTTAATATATCTAAAACTGCCATGCTAGCTAGTATTAGCATGGAGGAAATTTTATTTTCCTCCATGGTATTAGGTAACACGCTTTTCGCAATGATGGGACACTGTAGACAGAAACGATTACGAATATATTTCCTATAATAACACAGAGTGTTATAACTGCAAAAGGAATTGACAACATTTTAGGAACACACAAATTGGAGCGGTATCTGTATTGTTCACCATGCTGGTTGCTTTGCAGGCTTTCACGCTCTCGACGTTACAAGAGCAGGAAAGTTCCTGGTTGCTACTTAAATATAAAGTCAGCTAAAAATACCTGTCTTAAATAAATTACACAATCTTGCGATCTAAAAATAATCGTCATGATAACCTTGTATCATAAGAGAGTGAGTCCTCATAGTCATAGTAGGGGTGGCGCCAGGATGATGGGGGCGATGCTTTATAGATTGTCTATTTGACTGATCTCTTCATCTATCCAATTTCAAGTTATGTCTTTAATATTAAACGTCATTTGTAGTAATTGACCTATTTTCATCCTATTTTGTTATTCAAAACGTTTCCTAATTGATTGTCTATTTGACTGTTCTCTTCATCTATCCAATTTAAGTGATGTCCCTCCCTCACCACATACATACAGAAAGTTATAAGTCTAAACAAC